CCCAACCACCATGCGGTTCATAAAATTGCTTGAACGTTCTTTTGTTTCACTTAGTTTTGTTGTGAAATATATTATGCCCTTGGGGGATATAGTTGTAATTATTGACTTAATTATATCTGCACCAAGGAGCTCATTACGGTTTAACCGTATGGTAGGCATACCATACCGATACAGGTACACTATAGACACCTGATATGATGAGAGACAACGTCCTCTCATCCTCTCAACCAGGGATTTTACTTGTTTCTACACACCGTACTATTTGCGAAAAAAATATGGTATTTATTATATGGTAATTTTTTTCTCCCCGTTTCCCATTTTATCACCTTCATGTAGCTAAAATCACAAGACGAGGTTGACAAAAATATCAGACAAGATGATCCGCGGATCGCACGTGTCGCCTTTTTTCGCGGTCGATCCCTATATGCTTTGTGTTCTGAAAAAAAGTAAGATTTTCTGCATTTTTAAACGACCACCTCAAATGACCCCTAGATGACCTTTGACCTCCAATTTCGGAAGAGTTGTGATGAACCCCCACCTAGCATTACTCAATCTAAGTTACATTAAAATTCAAAGAAACAATTGAAGCATATTTGAACAATGACCTCTAATGACCCCTACATGACCTTTGGTACTCAGTAATTCGATGAAGAATTGTGTTTTCCCACCCAAGGGTTACCGTATCTAAGTTTCATCCAAATCCATAAAAGCATCTAGAAGTTGTACACTGTTTTCACGCAACTCGAGCGTTTATCCAATGGGCGCTAGTTATCAGTGGTGCGCAGGCCTAAGTGTCACCCAAAGCGTCGTTTAAGCAACACACAAATCAAAGCTGTTGGAAGGTTGCTAACCAACTTGGTAAAAAGTTACTGGTCCAAATGAAATAGAGTGTCAACATTCTGTAACCGTATTTATGTCAAAACATGTGCAATACAGTTCAGAAGAGAACTGCTCGCTGAAAGTTTGTATCGCTTGACCACAACATCCAATTATCATACATGTAATATCAAATGGTCTATAAACGCAAGTTCCGGTAGGGGCCTAAGTCCGACATCTTTGTTCTCGACGTTCTTCATCTACTCCCCAATAAGTGGGGAGTGAGAATCCTGTTCGCCAACACCGTTCGCGTGTTGGTTCCCATCATTCGGAACCCTGTTTCTCGTGTTCATTCAACACGAGAACGGGGTTTAGAATACGCCCCTTATTTACATTAGTCACTAGTCAAATCATTAGTGGTCAAATCTAGTAATTAGTCTGCCCCTCGACCAACGCTTAAGCATCGTTGGTATGCAATTACGTAATACCTTTGGTCTCCCCGCTTGCCACCCCCGCGTGCGGGAGATCCGAATTCAGTTGCGTCCACGCTCCCGACCGACTCACTTCGTCCTCATTCCTTTTCTGTAGCCAACTGCATGTATTTGTAAGTAGTTTCACTTTGATTTTTCATTCTGAATATTTAATTCACCTCAAGCATTTATCTTTAGTCAGTAGTGTTTGGCTTGAATCAGGGATAATTTAGTTTACGCCGAAATACTGAACATTCCTTAGAGCCACCGCCCTTATTCTATAGGCTTTCACCCCGGTACATGTAAAATAGAAAGTATCGATTCTTATTTGGGTACTACAGTAAAAGTACTATTATTATATAGGGTTATTTTATATCGCCGACCTATGTATCATTGTTTTATCTGTGTTAATTTAACAACTTTACCCAAATCAAACAGCGCCCTCCTATTGTGTCTGCCAGTCGAAAAGGCTAAAGCCCAAGTCACACATGCACGGTTTGGAGCTACGGATCTCCGCGGTTTAAAATTCGTGATAAACCGTGGGAGTACCGTATTCATCCTTAAGACGTCCGTGGTTATCCGCCATCTTCCTTGGGTATTCGTGGAGGGGCTACGGAAGTTTTAAACTGTTCATAACTTCCGTGGTGAACCGTCATGAAAATTTATCCGTAGTCCAATCGTGGGACATCCGTAGGACAACCGTACTTATTCGTAGTGTTATTCGTGGCTATTCGTGCATATTTTTTGAGATACGTAGTTCATTCGTGGTAGAAATCTCTACGTGGTAGAAATCTCTACGGATATGCCCGGATGTGCTAGTTCTGCTAAGGTTGTACTACGAATATGCATGTTTCATTCGTAGGAGAACCTTGGTCATCCGTGGCCCAATCGCAGACAACCGTGACGTTAACGTCTTTATTCTATAGTAATACCGTCGATATTCTTCAACAATCCGTCTATATTCTTGACCAACCGTGGTGTATTCGTAGAGAAACCAAGGGCGGATCCAGGGGGGGGGCAAAGGGGGCCATGCCCCCCCCCCCAAAAAAAAAAAACGAAACCAATTTTTTTTTTTTTATGTGACATCGCAATAAAGGCAGGCAATGAGTACACCACCATCTTTTCCTCAAAAAAACATTGGTTAAAGTGGTCAGAAATTGCCTCAGATCGCACCACAGAGCATCTAGAATCCAAATTTTTTTCGGGGGCCCTTAAGCGGGCCCCGAACCCCACGCCGTAATTTTTTTGACCCACTTTTTTGGGGGACCAACATTTTTTTTGGCCCCCCAAAAAAAATTGTGTTCTGGATCCGCCCTTGAGAGAAACCTTAGGACAGTCGTGGCTATCTGTCCTGAAACCATATTGCATTCTTAAGAAATTCGATTTCTCTTCACTGATTTCGGTTCATTCATTGATTCTTGGCAAACCGTGGGTATTCGTAGCTCCAACCGTGATGTGTGGCTTGGGCTTATGGTGTGTGTCCTATGTGCTCATAGACTGCACCCTGCGTTACTCGCACGCGTACACACAGTGGCATTTTTCTCTTCTCAGATGTGGTGAAGAATCCATTAAAAAATCCTGCATCCAACCCCCAAATCCGGATCACTTCCAAAATCTAATCGATTTGCACCTGTACCAAGGACCAACCATAAAGATATTTGCACAGTTAAACCACAACGTTTGAAAGTTGAAGTACGACGTTTGAAATTGAACCACGATGTTTGTAAACTGAAGAACGACGTTTGAAAGTTGAACCGCGACGTTTGAAAGTTGAAAAACCGCGAGGTTTGCCTGTCCGTTTTAAAACACCATACATGCACATTACAAGCGATGACTCGGTATTTTATTGACTTCTATTTCACAACACATCGGACGATCAATAAGCAAACACACCACGATTAACGAGGGCAAAGAAATAGTGAGGTACAGTCACGATTGAGAAGTTATGTACATGTAATGAAAAGAATTCGCAAAAAGGTGAACTTTATACATGATTGACGTCAGTGTGCGTCACGCTGTTTCATTTTGCAAATGATCACTTGAATTGTTGCCTTGGAGATTATCAAACAAATCTCAACGATGTAAACAATTAAAGGGACCATGCGTCCTAAAACAGCCCAATTGGGCTACAAAACGCGCTTTGAACGAAATGATGTTAATCGGAAAGAACATGTAAAAGTAGGATATAAACATCCACAAAACTATCCTTTAAAACCTGGGCGTGTTTGTGTTATTCCTGTATTATGCGTGCGAGAACGACTTTCGGGGTCCACTTTTGCGACCCCAAAAAGTCGAGCTGTTTGGGTGCTAGTTGTGATTTCATCTGTAAAGTGTTCTCCTTTTGCGGACGTGTAAGAAACAACATTTAGTGCATTTGGTGATGGGTCAACGCTGTTCGCGAGTACGGTGCTGTATAGACACACACAACGTGTATATCGTACATTGACCAAAACGACAGGGAAATCGTATTCGTACTCCGTCGTGTCCGATGTAAAGAAACGAGATTTTTTCGTCTTTTCTCCGGGGACGGTAAGACATTACGTTGGTTTCCTTTGAACCAGATGTTTGAAATAGGATAAGTAAACGATCCAAAACATGAGATTTCGGGGGATTTCAGGACCAAGTGCCCGGTTTAAAAGCAGATTTATTGTCAGTGGTGCTGCAACAGATACAGTTTCCTGTCCATGTTTTCCGATTCATCCATTATGGTTCGAATGGCTTCTCTCATGAAAGAGTCCAAATCGTTTATTATTTCAATAATGTCTGTTGCTAGGCAATAAGACATCTAATTTATTGAACTATAAACAGAATGTTATAGTCATGTTTTTTCTGCATAAATACCAGTCAAATAAACCAATATATAGTAAGGCCTAACGCGTAATTTCTTTTTTCTTTCCTTTTTTAGGGGGGGGGGGGCGGTTGAAATACGCCGCTAAATAGCCATAACTTTTCATTCTTTTATTTAGTGAACTAAAATTCGACTGATGATTCAGATCGACGATTTCTAAAAGTTTGAGACCGCCAAATAGAGGCTCAGGTGACTTCCACCTGACCAATCATGTCAGCATGAAATGCTCCGATTCTAACTAAACTATAATGCTGTATTCAGCCTCAAGAAATCTGAAGACAATTTAATGTTGACCTCGTATTACATACTGATCAAGCGTTCTTAAATGTAAAATTCTACAAGGGTTGTATAAGGCATTGTTATGTTTCCTTTTCAAAGGGCTATATCTGTGGCTATTGTTTTACATTAAGCAAATGGATAATTACTTTATTGTGTTGCATTTCTGTTGCCGTGTCAGGGAAAAAATGTATTACATTCATATTTCACTTTACTTATCTTATACTCTGTGTACTCATGAGCAACATGTGATGAAATCCCAGGCGGAAAGTGCAGTAATTTATTATAAGATGGAATTTTGCGTCGGGGTGATATAAATCAAATTAGGTTTTGCCCTTCACCGACGTTTTTAACCAATGTATACTCAGTGTGTTACCTCCCGAGTGAAAGTTGGAAAAAATCACTCGGGTGGGACTCGAACCCACGACCTCCTGCTTTCTAGTGCAGATGTCTTACCACTCGACCACCGAGCTATCGGGATCGGTTGGCCGGTTCGAATCTGATGTACATAGCAGCGGGTACCGCATAAACTATTATAAGATGGAATTTTGCGTCGGGGTGATATTAATCAAATTAGGTTTTTGCCCTTCACCGACGCGTTGCAGTAATTTATTTAAATTAAGCATTTGTTTCTATTCAAAACAATAGAAAGTCGAAGACAGATGAGTATTAATGTGAGTGTTACTACATAATACACAAGAAATAAATGTCTACAACTATGAACACATTCAACCACCGAATTAAAAGGCATAGCTGTTAAACTAATTGAAGAAACGTACAGCATAATGTTTAGCGTTATCGATAATCAGTTCAATCGTTGTGCATTCGTCCCATGCACACGGAAGTGTTAAACCCCGATCCCTTGTTTAAAATTAATGATATATCTCCAAATTGAACACACTCAAAACACATTAAGTCAACAAGCGGAATTTTTCCATTCGTATACAACAGGCTTTCTTATAATCATTTGTGACACCTTCATCAAATTCTACGACTTTGACGCAGATAGGCGCTGGCTGTACATTTTCTGGTAGTATGGCATGGAAGCGTCAACAAAAGGAAGGAGATCAGGAGAAATAGAAGAGCGATCTGGAAGGGGCTTGGGCTTAAGAAAGCACGTACTGTCCAGAGCGTTCTTGTAGAAACCTACCAACTGGTCCACTTGCACGTACAGACGAGGGATGATCCATTGTTCAATGACCGCATCCCCTGCCTCCCAGTTTAGAATCTTCTCATCAAAGGGCAAGCCGATGTCATTGAAGACTGCTGACAGGATACCTTTAGGATCTTTGAGAAGGTCATCGGCGTCGATGATGATTGCTTCAGGGTCGAGCTCCTTCTTCACGTGCTCAAACAACTCATAGACTTCCTTGTAGCCAAAACCTTTTGGGAAATATTTTTGAGGCAGGTCATCCAAACGATAGTCATCTGCTAGAGACATATACGGCACTAATGGCAGGAACGACCTCTTCCAAGACGGGAAGACTTTAAGAGGATGACGAATGAGGAACAGGTGCCGGAAACCCTTCGGGATGGACTCCAGCCGGTCCATGACAGCATAGGCCATGTCTTTGGAGAAGATGAACTTCTTCCCAGTATGGGCTTCCTCGAGTTGCTCTTTGACACCTTGGAAGGTGCATTGAGATGCATCAACCCCTGCTGATATCCCATGGGCTTTTTCCCTCACAGCCAACAAAAACTTCTGTTCTTCTTCAGACATGTTAGCCATTTCATCCTCTGTCTTCACCCCCGGTGCAATGAAGATGCTTTCATACATTTCGAAGAAAACCTTTGTGTTTTCGACGAAGCTCAGACATTTGGAAAGAACTGTTGAAAGAGAGCGAGGAACAGTCCATATCAAGAGTCGGACCTGGTTTTCGGACGAGGGAGCCTTCTCAGAGGTTGCCATCTTCCTAAAAGACGAACGAAGAAAAAAAGACCTTCGAACAGGTATGTGGGAGAGGTACGGGACATAAAATAATAGAAGCAAATTGTGAGGACATAACCTTTGGCACTCAGGTTGATTCGGAGGAAGGTTTGGAAATTGATTTTGAAAAGTTAAAGGATTTTCCTGAAAATTTCGCTCTCCTTTTAACATCTCTGAGGGCAATTAACCGACGGCTTTTAGAGGAGGCGTGGCCTCCAGACCCAGAGCCGTATACATGTACATAGAGAGAGTTGCGCCAACTCAACAGACTGTTGAACCGTAATGAGCACTAATGCAAAATCAGCCATTTTGGTACCAAACGGTGCGACCCTCATGTCACAACTCTCTCTGTATACGGCTCTGTCCAGACCCCGCTGTCAAAACTCTGAACACTTTTTGCTAAAATGACCATGTACGTGCATGGCGTTGGTTTGACTGCATTGTCGTCGGGCATTAAAAAGATTTCCACAACGATTGACTGTCGGAAGTACTGGCATACTTTGAATGACAAAGTTAGATCTAGTCAATAATCATGAACATATCATACCTTGTTCTCAAAGTCTTTCAAACGAGCTTCCTTGACAACAAACTGATTTCAAACTACAGCAAAGCGAATGAGATACCTCGGGGAGCGACTGTCTGATGCACCCAGGCTTTATGCATGTCTAAAGTTAACGACAAGTTCAACGATTAATTCGTTTTTATCGTGTGAACTTTGGATAGTTGACTTTTCGCAAAGTCATCACCTGAATAAACCTTTGACCTTTTGTCGACTTTTACCTCCCTATTCGTATGACTAACTGACAACAAAACGTATTGAATGCAAGTGCTGGATCATTTTGTGACATGCACAATTTCTTCTTCTTTTTGGTAGTGTGGCGCGCATTAGTGACATTCAGGTTAAAACAGAAGCTTTTGTTATTTCAAGATATCGTTTATCATTGCAAGATACCTCTTAATTTTCGAAAATTTGAGATAAGGCAATGTATGTCGAAATATGGATTTCAATATGGATTTCAAGATGTCTCTAAATTCACTTCCAGATAGCTCGAAATTCATTTCAAAATGCACCTTCGCGGGTGACGATGAGCAGTGTTATGTGCACCATGAGTCTGGAAGGGAGGTCCGCCAAATGATTAGTTGAAGGACGCTGGGGCAGTGTTTTCAAACCCAAAAACTGAATGGAGGCAAGAGCAAAAAGTTTCACTTCTCAAACTGATTTTTTTTTTTTTACAAACTGAATAACTGATCATGCAGTTTTATCAAAATAACAAGAATGACAATACCTCCCCAGTATCGGGTACTACGAATAACATATTACAGAGTATGTCACAATTGTATAAGTTGACCTATATTTATGTCTGAATTCACAAACCACATGTACATGTACACGAACAAGCAGGTATCTGTATATCAGTCATAATGCACAAAATGTTTTACGTCGCACGTTCACGCGTTCTGGTAAATGCTGATCATGTTATTTCACATGATTGTTATTGAACGTCGTCATAATCTTATAAACAGGATGATTAAAAAAAACCATATGTCGGGACTATTGTTTTAGTGAAGTTCTGCATGTAGCACTTTCAAAGTCTAGGATATGAAAGCCCAATTCATATTTCTTTTTTTAGTACAAGAATCATTCAAACCACTATGTACATGTACTTTTCAAGTTACGGAATGTTAAACACAACCACCGTTTTAAAGTTCGGTGTGCGGATCACAAAAAGGTGTGCGTTCTTTCAGCAAAACGAAAACAATTCACATACATGTACATCCCTATGTCATTTGTTTGCGTTTTGCTGAAAGAACACTTACCTTTTTTGTGATCCGTGGACAGAACTTTAAAAACGGTGGCTGTGTTTAAAATTCCGTAACATGATTGATTTGAACGATTCTTGAACTAAAAGAAAGCTGATGAATAGGGCTTTCATATCCTAGATTTTGAAAGTGCTAGGCTTACATGCAGAACTTCACTAAAACAATGGTCCCAACATTTGGGTTTCGTGGGGTTTTTTTCCTCGGCCTGTATCAATTTTAGACGAATTAGTCCATCTCAAATAAAAATGGGACTTAAGGCGAAGTAAAAAAAGAACATGTTTCTCGTCCCCGCCCGCTTCCTTTTTGGAGGCCGCCTGGATTGTTTTATTATTTTTTATTTTTGAAAAATGCAGTAAAAAAAACAAATGTCCACAAATTCATCGGAAAATAAATTGTAGACCAATACAAGTCTAAATGACACTGTAAATATGTTCAGTTCTCTTGTCCAACTTATCTTTCATTTTAAAAATGTCTTTGAACAGTGGAAACACAAACAATTGCAGGAAATTTTTAAATGGCGGCCATCTTGAAACAAATAAAAAATAAAAAATAAAAAGCCCCGCTTCCTCCTTTTTTTCGAAAACCCGGACGAGAAACATGAGGTGTTTTTTTTAATTCGGCCTAACTTCAGATTGATTCTAAACATATTCATGTAAAAGGGCTCTTGCCTCTCAGGGATTAGCTTAAAAATGGAAAGACCGATTGTTTTATGATGAATTATGCATAAATACTCAACAGGGGGCGCTATACATAACCGGAAATGCATCGCGAAAACCGTGTTTATCAGTTTTGTAGAATAAATCGTTTAGTTTGTCAAGGTTTGTAGGACCCTGGATCCGAAACCAGCGGTAGGAGATTCCTTAGTTTTTCTAGATGCACTGTAATGCGTTGAAATTGACATTGTTAGTGCCGTAGATTTTGAAGGTAAATTTGGAAAGTGAAATAGGCGGCCGTTCGCCACGGGATGGGTTTTATTGTCGGTTATGGGACTACATGAAGTAGAACAATTTACATGTGTACATGTAGGGCCTACTTTTTGTAATTGATAGTACTTTGTAATTGATAGATTAAAGTTATTGAAAGCAAGCTTATCGCAAAAAGAGACTACATGTAGTTGAGACAAATAAGGCACAATTAGAATTGAAACGGCTTTTCCCATGGTCGCTTATATTTATACATGTATTTACAATGTATATGCATATCAAATGTACGGAGTCACCTTTAGTTTATTAATACATGTATTCTTTCAAATACCAGTCACATATTTACATAACAATTTGTCTAATTAATAATTGTCTGTACATTGTATTCTGACCGCCTGCACAATCTTTAACAGACTTGGGCAGGTCTAGGTCATTGTACCAGATAACAGCAATAAAGCCAGCCCCGGTTGGAGATCGAGAGAGATCCCAGCAAGAGCCTGCAGTGCCTACGTCAACCAGTGTTTATGATCTCCCCCGCGGCTCGGTTGCCCCCGTACAATGGGATGGATTAAGATGACAAGGATGTCCATGCCAAAAACATCCTTGAAATTGATGGACGGTGTTGTTTCCTTTGCAGTATCCGGCCCCGGGTTTTCTGAATCGGCCTATATACTTGGTGCTCCTTGGCATTGAACTTATGCTGAATGTGAATACCTTGAGACTAGGCGACCCAGTCCATGCACTCGGCCGCCATTGACTCTGAACCGGCGTGGGGTTCTGTTCGGCTTTTCTTCTGATGAATGTGTCGACGGGCATGTCCTGCATCATGGACCACAGGTACAGCGCGTTGGCATCGAAACCAACTACATGTACATGTACATGTACGTTCCGACAGAGTTTTGGCCTGCCACGGATGAGCGTCTCGCCTTTCTCGTGGCACCGATGGAATACTATAGCCTACACCGACTGGCTCCTACGATGTTTTCTCATTGGTGTAGTTACATGTATACCATACACTTTGACAATACTCGGCCACTGCAATGTCGGTGCCCTTTATTCGACAATAGAAGTCCTCGTAGGGAGGAAATGCTAGATGGTCCAGTTTTGAAGTCATCCACCCACTCGTATGGGAAAAAAACCTTTGGTTTGAGGACAGTCGTACGCCTTCAAAAATTGACGCAACTGTACCCCGGAGCTAAATGGTTTGTGACGTCAAGAAACTTGAGACCCATAATACGAACCCGTCCTACCAACTTCAGCTGGGCCGTCTCCTCCAATGCGGGGTAGAGATACGACGTTGATGTCATACCGCCCTGAAAACCAAACACCAGCATCTCTTGTAGGCACTCCTCCAGCCTCTCCTTTGCGTTTTCAGTTGGTGTTTCCTGTCCTTTCCCGGTGCTGGCTCGTTGTTAGTGTTTTCGATGATTTCATCTATCTGTTCGAAGACAGACTCAACAGTTTCCATGAGATCGGTGTGTGCGGCATCACTAATTGAGAGTAAATGCTGCACCATGTCCTTGACTATAGTCCCGAGTTTACAAAACATCGTGGCTACTCGTAACCTGGCACGTTAATGTCGACACTGCCGCTCAGGAGCTCGTGGTGTTAGTCAGACGGTCAGTGAAGCTTGATGTACATGCTGGTAGGTGCATGGAAAGCAACACTCAAAGTCGTAAGTGGCCCAATATGGGAAAAAAATGCAAGTTTCTTTCCACATCTACCCCTCCGTCGCTAAGGTCATTGAAGATGGAAGTAGGGAGATGGATACTACCTCCTGGAAAGTGGTGCTTGAAATCACACGTTGGTACGTGTCTCACTAGATAAGGGCATTTGCGAAATGCTCTCCGACTCTTGGAACATGTATACGTACTAATACCTATCCATGTTTTCGATGAAAGAAAAGAGTCTCTCGTACAAGTTGATGTTCATGGTTTCTTTATAACGGCGCTGACGGAGCGCCTTGTTAACTTTGCACACACTTGGGTCTGGTTTCATCAGTTTTGTCTTAATCTTGGATGAGCGCTGTTCCGGTGTCCAGCCCTCTATCGCGACGCCAATGCAGAATTACTTGAGAGGCCGACCGTACCCTGGTTGGTGGCGACCGTCATGCTTGTCACGGAAATGTCCGCTTTGTGTCCGGTCTCATGCAAACAACCAAATTCATAATTATTCAAGAGATGGGGCTTCATCGAACATCAGAGTTGTAAATATCGAACGGCGAAGATGACTTAGTGTTCTGATGTTCCCCAACCTACTCCTGTACAGTAGCTGACTGTTGTTATCGTCGGCTTGGACTCTATAGCCCACTGGAAAATGGAGTAGATCTGCTTTCACGGGAGCGGATTGGGCCAAGCTGAGGTTGACGAGACGGGGCGGCTTAAATCTGTCATGACATAATCATAAGTTAACAATTCAACAAGATTCAACAAGAAGCCAATAAATCTGCTGGGAACAATACATTTGTTTCTGTATCAGTGGACTATTCTTGCGGTATTAAGGTTGACACGTACGGTTTAGCACTTTTTTAACCAATCGTGCAATGAATACATACATACATAATCTGATCCCGGGCATACGAATACACGAAACCATTACAATGACATGTATTGTCTCACTCAACTAGCATAACGTTTATGTCATTACAAATACTCATCAATCATAAATCAGTTTCGAAAACATACTTTGGCAAGATCGAAACAGTAATGCCAATGTGTGATGTATATTATTAGTTTGGCAATAGGGTCGACACAGTTTGACACTTTTGACAAATCTAAAAATTAATGTGGCCTGACGTTGCGAACTTAGCAAGTTCTTCTTCAGAGGCTAAAACAGCAATGACAGAGGTACATACATTAACATGGGGGTGCACACAAACATGCAGGGATGAAAGAAGAAACACAAAAGGAGGATTAGGTGGGAAAGGTGTGGAAAGATGCAGGGGATGGTGGATGAGAGAACAAAGAAACAAAGGGAGATGGCAAACCACAAGGGGTCTGGCATGAACAGGGGAGGGACCAGAAAGGGGAAGGATCAAAGGTCACAGGGAGTGGGAACGGACAAAAGAGTGTTCATTAGAACAAATTCTTCTGAGTCTGAGTGCCTGGCTAAACGCTATGCCAGTTTTGCAGTGCCTGGGGTGACAGCTGGAGGAGTGGAGGTACTGGTGGGTGTCTGTGGGTTTGGAATACAGGTCAGTGGTTAGTGAGTTGCCTTGCTTGCGGACGGTGACATCCAGAAAGTGGGTTTGGTGAGCCGAGAACTCCGATGTGAATTTGATGGTTCTGTTGTATATCTCGACAGAAAGTGCCTGTGGGGTCAGAGTCAAGGCGGGTATAGTTAGTGCGATTATCCAACTGACGGTGGGCCTCATCAATGTACTGCTGACGATCCATGATGACCACAGCTGAACCTTTATCTGCTGGCTTGATGATGATGTCGGTGCGAGAGCGCAAGGAGTTGAGAGCCAGGCGCTCCTCTCTGGGGAGATTATCATGAGTCCTGTGGGGGAAGTTGTCCGGGTTAGTGACTTGGGAATTTATAACTTGAACGTATGTCTCTATGGCTGGCACACGATTCTTGGGGGGTACCCATGAACTCTTGACTCGAAAAGGCTCTGGCTCACACGGTTCACTGTCCAGGAAAAACTCACGCAGACGGATTCTACGGTAGTATTCCGTGAGATCTTGGCTGAGCTGAACCTGGTTCACAGAACGGGGCGGGACAAAAATTGAGACCCTTGGAGAGAAGTTTGTGCTCTGCGTCAGATATTGATGAGGAAGAAAGATTAACTACAGTGTTGACCGGGGGTTCTGGCGGTGGCGTGGTAGATGGGGACCTAGGACGTCTGAAACGTCTGTGTCTGCGTTGTTGTTGCTTGGCAAGCAAGCCACCAATCTTCTTGTTTCTCCTGTTGAGTAGGACAGAGTCAAGGTTAAACAAACCCCTTTCAATCTCATCATGGAAATTCCTGTACGTGGAATCAGAACAACTGGATTTGAGTTGGGAGTCAAAGTGGGAAATGTTCTGATGGAGGTCCTCACGTGTAAATTGACACTGCTGAGAGAGAATATTGATGAGTTTAATAGAGGCACCATGCATAACTTGACTCCATCTCCTTTGAAGGTGTGGTGGGAGGTTTCCTAAGCAGGGAGTGTGAGACAGTTGCAAACCTTTGGGGATAAATCGAGAGAGGGAGTAAAAACTGTAGTTATCCTGATGGTAGGAGAAGCGTAAGGCCGTTTCCTTTGCCTTTCTGAGCTGTTGGAAAGTGCAAATGGTGTCACTCATATCTGTAGAAAGGGAGAGAATAAATGGTTTAATACAATAAATCAGTGGAGGAACACGAAGACAAAAAGTACAAGTCAAATGGGGTTGCTCATGCCTTTTGAAGGGACAGAGCAAAACAAAATTGTGGGTACCTGTAGAGTGGAGAGAACAGTTTGATTAGTACATGGTATAAAACGATCAAAAGAAGGAACAAAACAAAACACAATGAAACTTACATATCAGCAAGGAGGATCACCACGAAGGGATACTGCAACAGAGAAGTTGAAACATGAAAAAAAAGTAAGACTGCTGCAAACTGCTTACTGACTGGGTGGACCTGAAATATATAAATCTAAAAATTAATGTGGCCTGACGTTGCGAACTAGCAACGTTTTGACAAATGTTTGGAACACCTTCATACATCTGATCCGTTCCGTACGTGCAAATATATAAAGCTGTCTCGCTCAAACCACAACAAAATAATGACAACACAATGAATTTATTCGATACATGAATCAACTACTCCGTAAACAACGACATACGATTATCTCGAAGTGAAAGTAGAGTACGTATTTTAAAAAGAAACGGTACCTACTTGCTCGTTGGCTTTTCAGTTTGACAAATGTTTGGAACACCTTCATACATCTGATCCGTTCCGTACGTGCAAATATATAAAGCTGTCTCGCTCAAACCACAACAAAATAATGACAACACAATGAATTTATTCGATACATGAATCAACTACTCCGTAGACAACGACATACGATTATCTCGAAGTGAAAGTAGAGTACGTATTTTAAAAAGAAACGGTACCTACTTGCTCGTTGGCTTCGTTTTCATGCATTCAATCTCAGGATCAGGGGAAGTCCGGGTAGAGCAGCCGGTTGATCGTCAAAATACTCATCGGCCGTACGATGCAGAGACTCCGGGTCCCAAAATGAGGGCCGGACAAGATTAGACCATTCATTGCACGGGATAAAGGTGTACGGATGAATGCTCTTGCAGGGTATAACGATGCACTAGTGATGACGGGTCGTAATCGAAATTTATCGATTTTCTTCTTGAGTACGGTGGTCAGCTCAAACGGCTGTAAAGGTTCGCAACAAAAGAAGAAAGTTTGTTTGTTTGCTTGTCGACCTGGAGACGATCATCTTGTTTGCTTGGTTGTCCCAGGAACAAAATAAATATTGCTGCGCTACGGCTACACACTTTGCGATGTTGTGACAACTATTAGAAATTTTTAACCTTTCTTAATCATTTTACACATTGAAAAAAGCCAACTAGGGTGTGCATCACAGACAGCGGAAGAATTTCAACTTCGGGTTTTTTTTTAAATGTATCGTATTTTCAGTTTCAAGGTCATAAAAAAAATATATATCAACAAAATCTAGTGTCCTTTTTCCATCTCCTGTTCTCCGCCTCACTTCACCACCACCTCCACCCTATCTCATTCATCCCCCACCTCATCCCAGCTCTCAACGCCCCCGAAATGCCACTTTAACTGGGTCAAACAACTTCACCACTGGTATACTTTCACTTTCTGTTCAGTTTTTGAGAGAATTCTAGGGTTTTTCGGTTATTTTCCGTCCAAAGATGATACCCCTAGCTCTTGCAGGGTATAACGATGCACTAGTGATGACGGGGTCAAAAATGACACTTTCACTTTCTGTGCAGTTTTTGAGAGAATTCTAGGGTTTTTCGGTTATTTTCCGTCCAAAGATGATACCCCTAGCTCTTGCAGGGTATAACGATGCACTAGTGATGACGGGGTCAAAAATGACACTTTCACTTTCTGTGCAGTTTTTGAGAGAATTCTAGGGTTTTTCGGTTATTTTCCGTCCGAAGCTGATACCCCTAGCTAAAATTGGTTTTCCTGGCTATTTTAAAACATTTTTTTGTTCGAATTCACCGATTCTTATATTCAATTTCGTCCAGCAACATCGACTTACTGCACTTTCAATGTTTAATTTCGTCTTTTGTCAGACAATATTAAATTAAGTCCAAACAAATTCAAACAATGAGCACACGTTTTCGACCCGGTGTATTCGATTTCGTCTCGTCTACGCCGAATCGTGTTATTCAGAAATCAAATTCGTCTAATTGATTTATATAAGACGAATTTGATCTCAGAACGTTGCCATTCGGCAACAGCTTTAGACGGATTTGATCTGTAATGACGAATATTCTCGACCCGATGACTAAAAATGGTGACCAAACTTTGAAATTGAATGGTAGGCTAATTGACTAAATTGGTTTTGTTAAAAGCATTTGAAATTTTTCTCGAACGAAATTGAATGTTAGAGTTGGTGAATCTGAATGGAAAATGTTTTAAATTTGACCCGGAAAAGGGTCATGTGGGGCCTGACCCTTTTCCGGGTCAAAAATGACACTTTCACGGGTCAGAAATGACACTTTTACGAGTCAAATTTACCCGAAAAAATGAGTCACAAAGTGTAATTTTGACCCAGAAAAAGTGTCATTTTTGACCCGGAAAAGGGTCAGGCCCACATGACCCTCACTCCGGGTCAAGTCTGACCCAGGACTTTTTAGAGTGTATAGTATTCCTCAACCCCTCTCCTCGATCAATGGTCTGCATCCCTAGAAGCTCACTTGACCGGAGGATTTGGGGCCTAAATTTGCTTACTGAATGGCAGTCATGTACGTACAATAACAAGAAACACATGCCCATTGGCGGCCATCCTGGGGAGACACATGCTCCAACATGTTTTCCTCTATTTGAGGATGTCAATGGCAGTGCGACCTCCCTCCAATAATAATATATTCCAACTCGAATAGATTTTATTTTACCAAACTTACCCCAGTTTTCACAATATTGTTCTCAATTTCATAAGCCATACAGATATTGCGTATTTCACCCAATGATATTACCCATTCCGGATCCGCCCCAATCGACCGTTAACATAGATACACTTGCTCGAACAGCGCCCTCTTTCCGAATTTCTCAAGCCGGTGGTCAGTGGTTATGCTCACACATCATGTCAGAGAATTTAGAACCATTTGCCATGATCTTTTGTGCTCAAGCAGCTGCTGCTGAACATGCCATCACTTTTTTTACTTCACGAATACTGAAATTAGCATCAGCTTAATAGGCCAAATCTGACATTTTCTGTGGGGAAACCGAGGATTTGAAATACCGGTAAATGAAATTACAAGAAGTAAATGTAAAAGTGAGTCTCGTTATCCTAGGTCCTTGCGAGTGACGACGATAATAACCTGCGTCGGGCTTCTTGCCACCTCTGGACTTCTTGCCATCCGCGAATCTCATCAGCTAGCCTTTTATTTAATTACTCAACAAGGCTATCACGACTTTGGAATTTAAAACAGAGTGAAGAAGCCGTGAGGCGAATTGAACTGCCCAGACCGAGTGTACTCGGCCTGTGTAGTTTTGCCAGTCGCCTCGCGGCTTGGCCACTAGTCACTTGGAGCGGACCTTCTTCAGCGGGGTTATTCACGAGAGACGCTACGGATACTGGGTACGGGTATGGCCTTTGTGGGTGCAACAGTGGAAAAAAATTCCCATAGTCACTAGTGCTAAATGCCCATACTTCAAAATTCTTTTTAAAATACTCAGAACTCTCACAGGTATTTAAGCTGCACAGAAAAATGATGATCGACATGTCATCTTTCAATTTCTTTTCATTTTTTGGTGGGTTGACCAATGACTTTTCGAGAAATTCTCTCCCAAAGAAGACGACCCCTATTTTCCCCAAAGCGGAACGGTAGCCATCTTGAAAAACGATCCCTCCACAACATGGCAAAAATAATAGCGCCACTTTCGAGCCCAATTGTATCCAAAATGCTCAGAAATGGAAGCCCCGAGTCCGGGCCAGAGGTTCATTGCCATATCTCTTCAATTCCCCAATGTTATGGCTCTCAGAAATCTATTATATAGAATATTTTGATGGTATTACTTTTATTCATGAGCTCGGCGGATGGGTTTAGGCCTATTTACAGGTGTGCACCCTTGTACCACGTCACATAAATTGTCCCGATAGAGGGCGTTCTGTTCCCATCTGCGAACCTGACTTGGTCCATTCTCGGTCCCATGGTGTCTAGCAGTACCGCTTCGTCACTCGACGGCCTTGTCAAAAGGCTGTCTCTTTCAGCACCCTTTCGTCATTTCTGGAAACGGACAGTTTCCATGGCAATTTTCCCCTTATCACATTAACCCGCCTCTTTCCTGACGATTTTCATTATACTGCGCTTATTTATGACTCTTTTATCTTGACTGGGCGCTGTTCGTGTTTGCTTTAGGTGGCAGTACCTTTGATCTAATGTTTATGTTGTCATCAATGACAAACCAAGAAAGACACAAAACGTTATTTGTTGCTTGACTGAGCCCAACCACCATGCGGTTCATAACATTGCTTGAACGTACTTTTGTTTCACTTTAGTTTTGTGAAATATATTATGCCCTTGAGGGATATAGTTGTAATTACTGACTTACATTGTATCTGCACCAAGGAGCTCATTACGGTTTGACTGTATGGCATGCATGACATACCGATACAGGTACACTATAGACAACATTCTCTAATCCTCTCAATCAGGGATTTTACTTGTTTCTATACACCGTACTATTCGCGTACAATTATGGTATTCATTTTCAATAGCTTTTCAAATAACACAGAGCCTGGTTGCCTGAAATTTACATTCATTACTTTTTTTTCATTTGTAAATTTTTTTTAATGGGGTTCCAGACAGGGCCAGGGTCGGCGGTAATAAAAAAAAAAAGGTGTTTGTTTTTCATGAGTCGGGAGCCCAAAATAGGTCGGTCAGAAATCAGAAATAAAAGGGGGTGCCTTTATCCATGCACGGTGCTATGCTAATGAGTACCGCGGAGCATGCATGACTGTGATGATATGGCTTGCAGTTTAACCGAACCAGTTCCAAAAAGGCCATAATTTTCTTGTTTTTTAATTCCAATTTTAATTTTACATCAGATGAATTAGTAAAGCTAAAAAAAAAATACACACAATTTCTATCTCATTATTTACAGAGAATATCTGAGCTGACAAAATTGTTGTTTTTTACTTGTGATTTCTGCGTGACTGAACAATAATATTGTGGTACTTGGAACGGCTAGTAAGTAAGCAGTGTGGTGTTGAAAGCGTTCCTGACAGTTTCCAATTCCAATCTTTATATCTTTCTTTCAATGATGTTTTACTTTCAATATTTAGGAACAGTTACCATTTTTTTCAAAATGTCCACTTAAATAAGCTGGCATATTGAGAGTTTTAAACGCTAACATAACTCGGTTGGACTTCATTATGAGGAGAGAGTATGCACCAAGTTGACAAAAATCACAAAACAGTGTCAATTTACGGTCAGATAATTTAGAAATAATGCCGTGAATTATTAAGTTGATACTCAAATTATTGGTGAAATTACAATTGTTAAAACATGTTTTCTAGTACCGAAGGCGTCTGAATATATCAGTGCTTTACTACTGTAACTCCTGAACTGCGAGAGTCGATTTGTTTGATTGACGTGGTCCAAGGGCGGATCCCGAACCCTTTTTGGAGGGGAGCCAACCGGCCAGCAAATTCGAAAAGCGCGGGGCAGAGAAAGGAGAAGCTAGCCCTCATTGGATGCTTAGGACTCTCTTTTTTACTCATTTTTGTTTCTCTTTTTTATTTCCCAAATCCGTATAGCGGGAAAGGGGATGAGTATGGCATCGATTTAAAAGCAGTCATCTTCACTCTTCTTCTGGTTTTACTACTTCTAAAACAACTGATTCTTGGTTGTTTTTTTTTGAGGGGGGGATGGGGGAGGGATTCACCCATTCCCTCCCCACCCCCACCCCACCCCACCCCTATCCATCCTTGACACTGTCTCGTTTTTCAAACACTATCTCACTGCATAACCTTCATTTTATGTCCAAGAAAACATAGTACCTAATGAGATGATAATTAGGTACTTCATCAATGATAGACCTTCATAAAAAAAAATTTGCATAACCTTCATTTTATGTCCAAGAAAACATAGTACCTAATGAGATGATAATTAGGTAATTCATCAATGATAGGCCTTCATAAAAAAAACGCATAACCTTCATTTTATGTCCAAGAAAACATAGTACCTAATGAGTTGATAATTAGGTAATTCATCAATGATAAGCCTTCATAAAAAAAAAATGTCGGATAACATAATTACCAATCTTAAAACAACCGATCACTACCTTTTGTATGAATAATTTTTACCAATTTAAAACACAACCCTCAAACAGCACTGAAACTATATCACTAATTTCACACAAAGAAAACTAATATCTTAACCATTTCATTAAAATATCTTTCCCCTACAATACGGGACTTAATATATTATAAATCTATGATTTGCCTTAATTACAGAATATTGAATTTTGATTCACTTCGTCGATTCAATGTCAAATTTCCGTCCGATTTCGCAAATTGTTCATTCAATCAAAAAGGATATTGATTCCATTTCGTGAAGTTTCAGATAGTCGGTTGAGGGTACGAACACGTTTTCTATGTCTCAGTTATACATTCAATTTCGGTTCAATGTGTGTTCAAAAAAGCGTGTGGTCCACTTTTCGTACAATGAAATGCTAGTTCGTTTCAACGAAAGTGCAATAGAATTAGGAGCCAACTAATTTCGCTAAACGTCAATAGTATAGGCGATAAGAAAATCAGTTTCATTTAAAGAAATTTATATGATTTTCATTTATATACATTACATTTCCACAAACTGATCACACCACTTTAACACAGGGCTTTTTTACGCTGTATTTTTTCGGCAAGTGTTCAGCAGATATTGCCTTATATCACTTTGACACTTATTTTTTCTTCAGTTCTGTTACGATTTTTTTACTTTTCTTTCTGAGGCATAGCATATCATATTTTCCTTTGAGAAAAAAAATGCTTTATATTTCTTTATAACACTTTCTCCAAAGTCATGCCATTTTAGGCATTGCTTTAATATAGGTTTTCCCGGACAATTTCGGAAAATGTGCGTTTGAATTTGTAAAACTTAAATTCAATTTGGCGCCGAGTTTGAGAACGACGTACATCCTGGTTTCATTTTCGTAATAACTAGCATTCAATTTCATTTTGCATCAATCAAATGAATGAATGTGCATAGCGTTTCATTTAAGGGATTACAAATACGTGATTAGGTTTTCGGTTTGACGTATGAGTTGCCGATTATTACGAATGTGCAATCCAATTCGCAGAAAATCGATTGTCTATTGTGACATGGGCTGAATTGAACATTCTTTTTCATTTGTTACAATTTAAATTCGCATTTTCTGCATTCAATTTAAATAAATTTTACAGGCCTATACAAATGATGATACAACTTTGATTCATTAATTAATCAATGTGTGCCCTATTGATCATTAATGTGTTTGTTCTTATATACACAAAGGCCTATGTGAAATGTAGGCAAATGAAATGTGAAAATGATATAAATATGACCAATATGAAATCAATAAAAATAATCATGTAGCCATATTATTGAAACGGTAAAGGGACACATCACGTGCCATGTTACATAGGATCTGCATGGGGACTTTTTGTTGGTTCATTGTCTTAGTTGTATTTTAATTTCTTTATGTATTTCTTAAGGTTCTCTCTCGTCTTATCAGTTCGATTGTCTATCCTTCAATGACCTGTCCACCAAGACATCGAGGGAGATATGTCTGAGAATGGTTGTACCATGCGGTGCATTTCGCAGGTGTCACCTCTCCAATGTTGAGTGCAGCCACCTCCTGGAGACGGAGGGATCTCCAGACTTGCAGGTTCACACCAGCTTGGACTCTTGCGTCTTGGTCTCCAAATCTGTCCTGCCATTCAGGAAGCCCCAGCGTGCGCTTCACTCCCGCCTTGAAAGCTGAGTGCGCCATTTCCGTAAGATTTAAGAATGGCGAGTATGGGGGCAGCAACTTGATGGTGAAATTGCCGGCATCAGGGGGTAGTTGGGCTCGGATATGAGGACGAGCGTTGTCATATATCAGATATATGCGTTCGCCTGCCGGGAATAACATACCGCATTCTTGTACAGTCGTCGCTAAGAAATCCTCAAAAGTCGCTCTCGTCACAGTCTCTGATGATATTCTGTCCAACCTCACCAGAAATGGCAAACGTGATGTTGACTTGCTTGCCTCTCTGGCCATGGACGACACGCCTTGCTGGCTCTCCACGAGGAGCGCGACCATAAGACCGACGGGTCCATAAGTTATACCCAGTCTCGTCAATGTACACAGTGTGGCCAAGGACACCAACCTGAAGAAACCAATTTCCAAATATGACTCGTGCATCTAATATGCGTGGCTCATAGGCTGTTCTGGAACATCTTCCGCTAATTTAAGAGTTAAAAGCATACCATCTAGAGTTCTAGCGATGGTACTAGTGGTAACGAAGGGCTTATCGGGAAGATCAGCTCGCAGTTGAGTATTGAGTTCACGCAAAGTTAGAAGGGGGTTGTCATCTAGATATCCTTGAAGGGCATCTCTCATGTCGTCGTCAACCTTTTGGTTTATGGGTCCTCCTTTCGGCAGCTTGTTACGACGACCATCCCGAAGATATACGCCAACGATTGATCTGGCCGTTGAGTGCTTGATGCCCAGCGTATCTGCTACCTGCAGATAGTCAGCGTCGTCAGCCTCAAAGGCATCGATGAGGCGATTTCGGTCAACGTCCGAGATTCGTCGGTATCTCCCTCTTGCAGCCATTATTGGATATTTAAGGACTATGTGAACTGAGACTCTTGGCTATATGATGCGATTGTGGCAAATGCTGAGCAGAAAAAGATTTTCTTAAGGTTAGGTTTTTATATAGGATTTATTACAATAGTTGGTATGTTTCAAAAGACTACACCTCTTGGTTTTAGCTCAATCATCATGAATATTCAAAAATTCAATCATTCAATCAAGCTTTCCTCAAATGTTACTTTAACACATAAATGAATTCCAATGCTTGACCAGGCATACGTTAAATAACACTGCGAGGGAAATCGGCTGCACATTTCGCGAAAAAGATTGATGACAAATTAAAAGGAAAATAGGATTGCGGATGTGCCTTCGATTTCGCGCTAAAATGAAATGTCAATACACTAAATGCAGTGCATATGAAGCCCGGGAAGGGACAGGGTGGAAATTGTTTTGGGCATTTGCTAATTTGTTCGCACGAATTACTAATTCGTTCGCACGAATTACTATTTCGTTCGCACGAATTGCTAATTCGTTCGCACGAATTGCTAATTCGTTCGCACGAATTACTAATTCGTTCCCACGAAATCCTAATTCGTTCGCACGAATTACTAATTCGTTCCCACGAATTACTAATTCGTTCCCACGAAATCCTAATTCGTTCCCACGAAATCCTAATTCGTTCCCACGAATTAATAATTCGTTCCCACGAAATCCTAATTCGTTCCCACGAATTACTAATTCGTTCCCACGAAATCCTAATTCGTTCCCACGAAATCCTAATTCGTTCGCACGAATTACTAATTCGTTCGCACGAATTACTAATTCGTTCGCACGAAATCCTAATTCGTTCGCACGAAATCCTAATTCGTTCGCACGAATTACTAATTCGTTCGCACGAAATCCTTATTCGTTCGCACGAATTACTAATTCGTTCCCACGAAATCCTAATTCGTTCCCACGAAATCCTAATTCGTTCGCACGAATTACTAATTCGTTCGCACGAATTACTAATTCGTTCGCACGAAATCCTAATTCGTTCGCACGAATTACTAATTCGTTCCCACGAAATCCTAATTCGTTCGCACGAATTACTAATTCGTTCCCACGAAATCCTAATTCGTTCCCACGAAATCCTAATTCGTTCGCACGAATTACTAATTCGTTCGCACGAATTACTAATTCGTTCGCACGAAATCCTTATTCGTTCGCACGAATTACTAATTCGTTCCCACGAAATCCTAATTCGTTCCCACGAAATCCTAATTCGTTCGCACGAATTACTAATTCGTTCGCACGAATTACTAATTCGTTCGCACGAAATCCTAATTCGTTCGCACGAATTACTAATTCGTTCCCACGAAATCCTAATTCGTTCGCACGAATTACTAATTCGTTCGAACGAATTACCAACTTGTTCCCACGAATTACTGGCACGGCACGTTCCCGGATCCATGAGATATATAGATGTATGGGGGACCCCCATGCACCCCCAGAACTAACTTTCACCAATTTTTGGGGTGCCTTTCAGCGTCCTAAAACACATTTTGGATGTTAATAGTAAAACAAATCTGATGAGAAGGGGATATTCACGGTGGCGGCCAATATGGCCGCCAAAGTTGGTAAAAACTGGGGGGGGGAAGACATATATCAGCCAAATAATGTGATAAAAGCATAAATAAAATGGTTAATTATATGTTTTAGACTCTCAAAGACTCATTTCTGGTATTTTTCCCCCTACAATGCTTCAAATTAAAGATGGCGGCCAATTTGGTAGCTAATAAGGCCGCCATATTGGTAAAAATGAAAAAAAATCAGCCTAATAACATGATAAAATCACAAGTGAAATTGTTAGTTATATTTTTTTTACCCTCCCAAATTCATTTCTGGTATCGTGTTTTTGATATCATGCTTCAATGCATGATAGCGGCCAATATGGCCGCCAAAATGGGAAAATAAATTGAAAAAAAAATCATATATAGGTTTCCCCTAGTTTCATTATCAGCCATTCAATTTCGCGTGAGTTTTGCACATTATAATCAAATTTCTTTTTAATTTGGGGGGCATTAGCAGCCAAGATTTTTGACTGAATGTCAACCTTTTGACGGTTGACGCATTCAAATTAGCAAACGTCGGTGCGCTTATAACGTATTACATGTACCATGTTTTTCGTTTCTCATTCGTTTATGGGCAATCACTTTCATTATGAGGTCATTCAAATTAACAAGATTTTTTTAAGTGATATATTTTCCCATTTTCCTCCGAGGTTGAGTTTCCCCAAAACATCTTAGCGACTGTAAAATTTACAATATGGCAATGGTTGTACGATGAGGAACCCTTCTCTTGGGTAATTTCTTAAATGTTTTCTTGCGTATGTCTGACCGAACACTTAATTAAAGCGCCCATGCAAAGAAATTGTTCAATGCAAACCTGGAAAACACATCTTTGTGTCACATTTTAACCTTATTCTCAATGTGTTTTTTTCCATTTTGAAGGGTGTTTTTGTGTGCTTTCTCCTTTTTTATGATGATGCAAAGTTCCATATTCACGCATCAACAAGATTTTGATGTCATTTTGTGAAGATTAATGTTACTGGGCTATTTCAGCACACAAAAAAGTTGCTACGATTTCTTTTCTTTGGTGATTCTTTGTTGTGTCAGTACTTGGCAGTAAGCCAATGAGCAATCCTTTCTCAAAAGTGTTTTCTTAGCAAATTTTGGGTGAATAATTTGAAAGAAACCCCCTAAACTGAACAGTGTCTTCCTGAAATCACATCACAGCACTGAAAAGCATGGAACTTTTAAATGTTAATGACGTGCACTTGCAATAAGACTAACCAAAAAAAGGATGTCAAAATATCTTTCATACATTTTAGAGTAGTAGTAAGTTGCACAAAATGTATTCATGAGGAAAAAAATCATTCACGGACCCTTTAATTAAGAAAGAGAGGTGTCCATTTACGGATTGACGACATCAGATATGATTTACGCCGAGATAATTCAGAATTTTACATGCAGGAAGTCTTAAAACATCTTGACAAAAAGTGAAATAAGTTTGCCCATTAATGAAAAGGAATGCCCGATCAACCACTTACTACTGGTTCAGACCAAACTGATTGAACAACGCAATACTTTTAATGCAGCTTTTACAGGGATGAGTGAAGCTGAAAGGCGATAGATTGCTTGGATAGTGAAATCGAATGATTCTTTTTGATTGTCGAATGACGATCTGCGTGATTTTTCAATTTCAAATCAAACTGAACGAGCCAGGCGTTAAATTGAATGAAAAATTGGTGAAGTTGGCCGGGAAAACCTACATAAGCCAAATAGTGTGATAAAAGCATCAATAAAATTGTTAATTTATTATGTTTTTGACTCTCACAGATTTTATTTCGGGTATCCTGTTTTTTTTTGCTTTCACGCTTCGAATTCGAGATGGCGGCCAGGATGGGCGCAAATATGGTCTAAAAGGCACCCCCCCAAATCTTGGCTGCTAATGCCCCCCAAATTAAAAAGAAATTTGATCATAATGTGCAAAACTCATGCGAAATTGAATGATAATGAAACTAGGGAAAACCTATATATGATTTTTTTTTTCAATTGTTTTTTCTATTTTGGCGGCCATATTGGCCGCTATCATGCATTTGAAGCATGATATCAAAAACACGATACCAGAAATGAATTTGGGAGGGTACAAAACATATAACTAACAATTTCACTTGTGATTTTATCATATTATTAGGCTGATTTTTGTTTCATTTTTACCAATATGGCGGCCTTATTAGCTACCAAATTGGCCGCCATCTCTAATTTGAAGCATTATAGGAAAACACTACCAGAAATCAGTTTTTGAGAGTCTAAAACATATAATTAACCATTTTATTTATACTTTTATCACATGATTTGGCTGATATATATCTTTTTTTTCTCCCCAGTTTTTACCAACTTTGGCGGCCATATTGGCCGCCATCTTGGATATCTCCTTCTCATCGGATTTGTTTTACTGTTAACATCCAAAATGTGTTTTAGGACCCTAAAAGGCACCCCAAATATTGGTGAAAGTTAAGTTCTTGGGGTGCACGGGGGTCCCCCATACATCTATATATCTCATGGATCCGGGAACGTGCCGTGCCAGTAATTCGTGGGAACAAGTTGGTAATTCGTGGGAACGAATTAGTAATTCGTGCGAACGAATTAGTAATTCGTGCGAACGAATTAGGATTTCGTGCGAACGAATTAGGATTTCGTGGGAACGAATTAGGATTTCGTGCGAACGAATTAGGATTTCGTGCGAACGAATTAGCAATTCGTGCGAACGAATTAGGATTTCGTGGGAACGAATTAGGATTTCGTGCGAACGAATTAGGATTTCGTGGGAACGAATTAGTAATTCGTGGGAACGAATTAGTAATTCGTGGGAACGAATTAGTAATTCGTGGGAACGAATTAGTAATTCGTGGGAACGAATTAGGATTTCGTGCGAACGAATTAGGATTTCGTGCGAACGAATTAGGATTTCGTGCGAACGAATTAGTAATTCGTGCGAACGAATTAGTAATTCGTGCGAACGAATTAGTAATTCGTGCGAACGAATTAGTAATTCGTGCGAACGAATTAGGATTTCGTGCGAACGAATTAGGATTTCGTGGGAACGAATTAGGATTTCGTGCGAACGAATTAGTAATTCGTGCGAACGAATTAGCAAACGCCAAAAAAAATTTCCACCCTGTCCCTTCCCGGGCTTCATAAGTGCACATTCGGGAAATCGTACGCTGATTTTTTACGACTGAATGCACCTTCACGGAAAAAGAATTATCATTTGTTAAATAGAAACAGAGATTTGGAAGGTTCATTCTATTTCGCACGAAAACGAATGCTTCTTTTACAAATTCGTGTACACATTTTCCGAAATTGTCCGGGAAAACCTATACTATACCACAACACAAGTCAAGTAGGATATTTTATGATATTTTTACTGTTCCATTTTTGAATGTTGGCAAATGGTGTCCATGCATTACATTATCTTGCTAATCCAAATGTCCCAATTTCATTGAACATGACTGTGTTAGTGTTGTAAACGTATTCGCCAAATTGAATACTAAATACCTGAGCTGCACAGGGCCAAAGCTCATAAAGCTCATGCGCAATCTATGCCTACTTTTTAAGCGTGAACGAAGATGATCTGCTACACAGTACCCTGTGGAGACATGTGTATAATAGGGAACAAAACATTGTATACGTCTCCACAGGGCAATTTCTGTAGGTGAATACGTCTCCACAAGGTTATCACGAAATAGATATGTGGATTTTACTCAAAAACTAGGAATTTTCCAAGGTGTGTTGATTCGTTGCAAATTGAAGTATTTTATGTAAAGGATATCAAGTCCGAATTTCAGCCAAGGAAATCAATTCTGGTATAAAATAGGAGCATTTCGAAACTAGATTTTCAAACCCAAAATTTTAGTACACGAGAACAAAGAAATGACTCCAAAATGATACAAATTCCAGTATGTGTACCCTGAAATATTTTTGAACTTTCACCAAATTGGACATGGGTGTGAAAACGTTTGCTCGTTTTTTTTATGCGAATGTGAATGAAAGTTTTGCGAGACCGAAAGAACCAGGTATGAAATTGGGTATCGGAAACCTATTTTTAAAGATTGATTATTAAAAAAAAAAAAAAATCTGAAGTGTTCATGCCAAAAATCACAATAATTACCACAAATTTGCTCTTCCATTAAATGTGCCTCTGCGATACGAAATGTGTGTTGCAATAAAGATCCAGAAACGTGTGGATATACAATAACCACAGATAAGTGCAGTCATTTGTATGTACATGTACAGTGTATTGTGATCATTTTTAAGCTTTATTTTTTTTTAACCAGTCATACGAAACCCTGAAATTATAACTGCACGTTACACAGAGAAACTGTTCGAATGTCCCCACCTGCCTCACTGGAACCCGTAGCCAGGGTTGGGAGGGAAGGGGGTTGAAACACCCACCCCCAATTTAACATGGGCCCACATTTTAGCCGTCTCAATAAAACTAAATAAAAAAAATTCCAAGTGCATTAACAGGCTTTATTTACAAGTCAGCCATATTCAAATGAAAGCGAGGTAATATTTTCATTTTTGGAACTTGCGAATAGAAATGAAAGCAATGAAATAAAGTTACAAATTAATATCAGGCTGCTCTGATGAAAAGTTTCAAAATTGTGGTTATACATACCCGAATGTTTTAGGCCACATTTTAAAAAAATATTGAAAGTGTGGCTTGGAACGCATAAATAGTCTGGCACCATCGCATTCAACAGTTTACAACTTATAAAATACATCCAGGGAACACGATCACAAATGGCTTCCTCGCGAAAAAAAAAAAAGTCTATATAGGACAATAATGATCGTACCCTTTTTATTAAAACAATGGCACACTTTTATTAGGAAAGTTCAAATGGTTTTTCAAAAAATCGCACCCTCACACCAGGATTTCACCTGCATGTCAATAACTATGTAGAGTTTCTGCAGTGCACAAACCCACCGGGACTTGGGCCGGATTTTTTTTGGGGGGGAGGCTGATCGGCGAAGCTGCATTGTGCACATGACTATATCACTTTTTTAATGCTGTGTAGTCTCATCTCATTTGGCCTGTCGGCTTCGAAACTCAGTTAAAATGTGCAAGTCACAGTCGCCTTGTTACAAAACCATCCATTTATTGTTATTTATTCATTATGGTGCATGCATTGTTCACACATCGAAGACAAAGGTCCAAGGCCAGGGTTTTTGTTTATTTATCGGTTTGCTTTATTGTTTAATTCATTGGGTAATTTTTTTTATTAATTCATCGGGTTAATTGCGCTAATTTTGACTGGTATAGCAACCGATCACCTCAAACCTCATGCTGCAATGCGTGCTCCATTCCAGGGGATGAATGCGCAGGATTCGGGTATGCAAGGCCGACGAGAAACGAGCGGTCACCAGCGTGTTTCTGTCCGAGTTACCGGCGAACTGTAAAAAGAATATTATAGATTTAAATTATACAATATTTAACCGACAACTTGTCCATCCCATTGTCTAGTTCATAAACTCACTAGTTAAGATTATTTAAGGGAAGATACAGTCCCGAAACCTAAGGATGTCATAACATTTCAGTCCGAAGATTTCATTCGTAGCTTGGATGCAATAAGCATGCGCTTATGTCGGGATGGGGAGGATATATATCCTCCCGTCACTTTTCGAACGGGGGGGGGGGAGGGTCATAGGATCAAACCCCCCCCCCCCCCCCCGACTTCCGTAGTGAGAAAACGAAAAGGGCCGATTTGACGTAAGGTAACTTTCCAGCGGTCAAAAGTTTTTGAAATATAGCTTTGAAAAACAGAGAATAAACAGTACAAAAACGTAAGCGTGCAAGTCTGTATCAAGTACATCTGATGTGAACCAGGTTCGAGATGTGGAATGGTTCTTGTGAGAATTTCAACATATTGGTAAACCCTTCATGATGTGTTGTATCTTTTTACTCTACCTATATCAAGATTTACGATTAGCTGATGCACGATTTTCGGCCTACCTTGACTGACGCCCCGTCGGCATCAGTCATGTGATTCCAGGACTGGCCGTCATCACTGTACGTCACTTGGTACTCTGTCACCCACTGAGTATCTACTTGATCACCTCGTCCTTGGGTGATCAGGCCAGTGATGGTAACCATGGAAACAAAATCCACCTGAATCCATGGATTGGGATCACTGTTTCCTGCACTGACCCAGGCTGCGGCATGTCCTGTTTAAATTTTAATGATGGTTATTTTCATCATTTTCCATTGATTTTTTTTTGTCATTTTGCCGACGCGCATAGCTACGGCGACGCGCGCATACCAGAAACCGGAGACTTGGGGGGGGGGGTCTTTGCTATATTATTATTGAGTTCTAATTTGAAGCACGGGCATGTTCAATTATTTTTTTTTTTTTTTTTTTTTTTTTGGTGAGTCCCAGAAGCGCCAGTCTATAGTCCTCTTTGCACCTAAACTGACTGACTGACTGACTTACTCCCCGTCGCTTGTGAATTAGACTGGTTACCTATCTCACTGACTGATTTAAATTTTGAATTACGCTGGTCACCTATCTCACTCACTGACTCACTGTCACTTGTGAATTAAACTGGTTACCTGTCTCACTGACTGAATGTCACTTAAGCAATTACACTTGCTTAAGTCTCTCTCTATGAGTCAAGTCTCCATGCGTGCGGCGGAAGTGGATTATTCATTTCCGTCTAGTAACAACAGTAACAGTATATGCTGTATAATGGATGCTTTGGTAAACAAAATTGCCAAACCCTCTGAAGTAAACAAACTTACCTTGAGTGTTAAGTCTGGCCCTGGGTGGGGCATGATTGGTGAAGTTTCCCCAGACAGACGAAGCTGTGATGCTTTCATTCCGGATGCGACCATCTTCCATCCCGAGAGGCCCTCCCACAGAGCACGGAGGACCATCTGAGAAATAGAACGAATGAAGTAATCAGGAGGCGATTTCGAAATGAAAAAAGAAAAGCAAATCAAAACATGTGTCACAGAGCCCACAAAATTGCATTCAACTGAATGAAAATGGCTATTCACTCGGTCTACATCCCGGGTCTGCACAATGGTTCAGGATTTAGCCCATTCATTACCGTTACGGGGTAATTCTAATTCTAATTAAGAGAAGGGGGAAAAAACAATTAAATTTGTAAATTTTCTGTAACAATCAAATTTGAATGTCAATTTTAGTTGTCAAATGAACATAATAATCACTTCGAGATACATTTACAGATGTATAATAATAGTTTATTTCGCTGATTTCAGACCAAAAACATATTGAAATCACTCTCTTCCTATCACTTTTGGAATTTTAGTTTTACGCCTAAAAACAATGACATACCAGCTAAAATTTCAATGAACAACAATGAGCTTATAAGTTTGTTTATATGATGTACGTCTTTAAGAAAATATCAAAATTTGGGTTAGATTGTTGGTTTTTGTTCAAATGCAAGATGTGCCCCCTTTTTATGAAAAAAAGTGACACGCCCAAAATGGGAACAAAAAGTTTCTGATTTGACATGTGTGTATATTCTGTCTGCCTCCGTTAACTATAATAGATGGTGGGGAAAAAACACCATGATTGCCCGTTACAGCTAGATTTTCTGTTAAAAACATTTGCCCCCCACTTTTGTAAAATGTGGCCCACACCCAAAATGAGGCAAAATTTTGGAATCATTTTTTATTCTCGTGATGTAGCACTTGGATGTATGGAGCCCCTTCGGGGACATTCAATATATTTTGTTTCATCTCGTGTGCAAGAGATAATCTCTCCCCCGCACGACATAATCTCGTGCGCACGAGATCATTTTTTATTCTCGTGATGTAGCACTTGGATGTATGGAGCCCCTTCAGGGACATTCAATATATTTTTTTTCATCTCGTGCGCACGAGATATTAGGGAGGTTTCGCAAGCGAACGGATACGCTTACACTTACGCTTAGCTATCCGTATCCGTTTTTTTACCTACGTGTAGCGAGCGAGATATGCGTGTCGTCTGCACGTTTAGCGGATAGTGAGTGGCGTATGACGTCATACGTACAGACGACACGCATATCTCGCTCGCTACACGTAAGTAAAAAACGGATACGGATAGCTAAACGTAAGTGTAAGCGTATCCGTTCGCTTGCGAAACCTCCCTAATATCTTCCCCGCACGAAATATATCTCGTGCGTACGAGATAATCATTTACGCTTTTTGCAAATTTGACGGAATTGGACAGATCTTTCTCAGGCAGTCTGAGAAATATAATCAAAAATCCCCATCCTATTTGACTTAACATTTAACGTAGTGGCTGCATTTATGATTACGCCCCCTCCCCAATAAACACGCTGCTTTCGCCACAAACGAAAAGTCGTCCGATTTTGTGCACGCCACGCGCAGCCGGCTATAGCTCCTTATTTGTAATTATCTCGTGCGCACGACATAATTATGTCGTGCGCACGAGATATTAGCACGAGATAAAAAAAAATAATAGTATTGAATGTCCCTTTAGGGGCTCCATATGGGTGAGCTGTCCAAATGCGAAAAACAAAGTGAAATTATCTGAATCGGTTTTGTTTTTGCGCGCAGAGCATTCCACTTTTTAGTGTCATGGCACCAAATGGCACCAAGTGGTTTTGAAGTTGATCGTGAGAGTTTCAAAGATTGTACCCCAACATTCATATGGGCCCCACAAGCCCACTGACTATGATTTGAAGTCATGACCACTTCAAACCAGTCAATGAATCTGCTGCCTTGCGTAGGTGATTTATATACCTTTATTCCTTATTATTTAAATAATAATCAAAAATAATGGATACTGTGAATGTGGATGCCGTAGAGGGTGCGCTCTTTTTTTATCCATCTGGAACCGTTTGGGGAAAGAATCGCCGCCCGGCACAACAAGTACCTTCTCACGCTGCTTGAACCTCCTGCATAGACGTCGAAATGTGTCTAGGGCAAAACATTTCATTTTGGCATAGCGTTGTTCGTTTGGAAAGGTAAAAATGGAAAAACGTCGAAGTTGGCTTCGTTGGTGCTTTTAATGAGATCGACGGGGAAAGGACCTCCCTCCCACGACACCCCTCCCCCAACCACCCCTCCCCCTTCTGCACTTTCATTATTTTCCGAGGAGACCACTAGATTTGGATCAAGATTGGCCTGTGTATTGCTAACCTTTTACGTTTAATTTAAAATGGTTGCTCCGAGAAGAGTAATAGCTTTTACCCAAACTTTAACGCAAAGAAGGTCTGCAAAACAGAAGATGGACTCTTCTGAGGTACGGTGGTGGCTTCTGAATTACTGTCAAGCAAGCAGTTACTCACCTGTGCAGTTCAGCCATTGCTGTATCTGCTTAGGATCGCTGCTGATCAGAAAGGTGTCATAGTACGTCACCTCGTAGGGTCTGTACGGTACGAAGGTGCTGAAGCCACCCATTCCGATCTCTGCACACTGACACGGGTCGTGGGCTTGAATCAGCCAGCGGTACCGGCCCGTCTCTGGGTCGGGTTCCTGCTCGATGATGCAACGCATCGCTTGGGGAGGGAGGGACATATGAAAGAAAAATCCATCACCGTGTTTCAAATTTTGAAAATGACTATCCTTTAATAAAAAGGAGGTGATATATTGAAAATGGAGCTTCATCCATCAATTTTGAACCTCTTTTTTACTGTGAGAATTTGAAGGCTTATTCCACCAGAAAAGACGCATTTGCTCGACCCCATCCCCTGACACGCATGACTATTTTAAAATGCTTTGAACAAAAATCTGTTTATTTTTACACAAAACTTAACTTAAGACCGAACTAAGTCGTATTGGCAGCTCAAAATGCGCCCCAGCACTTTCTGTTGAAAGCTCAGCAGGCACGAGTCTTCGTCATCATGAGGAGAGCGGCGCAGTGTAACTTCCGAGGTCCTCCAAAGCAGCCTTGAAGACCGCCTTGGAGGGGAGGTTAACAAAGTCAACCAGACGGTCAACAAAATCTATATAAAGAACTCGATCCCTCAAACAAGTTTAATGAGTCCGCGTATACAAGATTCAGAAGTGAAAGCCAACCCAATTTTGTCACCGAATGAACTGTCGACATGCTGTATTTGTTTTTAGGTTGAAAGTTAAATTACCAAGTAATTTTGTCTTAAAATTGAGGAATTTTGGTGTTCAAGTGATTTATCTGTGGTCTAAAAGAAGTGAATTTTAGGTAAATAATCTGTCAACATCTCTCTGTGAATATAGGTATTGCTTGTTGGACACTTCCCGGAGGACATTTTTGGTTACTGCATCTCTAGAGGGAGAATGCGGAGATTCATAGGTTATGATACACTGATATGTTAACTGTACGCTTCTGTTGCTATAGGACTTTTTTTACATGCCTGTCTAATTAAAGTAACTTTATTATTGAATTTTGAATCTATCGTCATACTTGTAGTATTTATAATTTATGCCTATATACTTTGCTGGTGTAGATTCGTAAGTAAGTTAATCAGGTTCCGAAGGGTTATTGCTGAGATGCGGTTGCTAGGCAACAGACATCTAAAATAGCACGATCATATGGTCCCGGAGGTGATGTATCATATTCATATGACTAGGAGATCTTCTCTTTATTTGTTCATCTGTTGATATGAACTACAGTTTGAAAGGAAATCATTCTTAAACACGATCCGTATTCTTCTCGATGCTACCCCTAGGTAACCATACGACTAACCAATATGAATACCCCATGGTGTAACCTGTCCAGAAATACCCACCAAACTCTTGATCTTATTTAAGACTTGTTTCAAGTAGGTCAATCAGGTTCTGAAGGGCGGTTGCTAAGGATGATGTGGTTCCTAGGCAACAAACCTCTAAATTAAATTGATCATTATGATCCTTGAGGTCAATTATCCCATTCCAATTATTAAGACATCTCTTCTTATCTATTGTAAGACTAGCCAATTCGATTACCCCAAGGTGTAGCCTTTCCAGAAATACCCACTAAACACTTGGTCATTTCTGTTGTAGAATCGTTTAATGTAAGTTACGATAAGGATGATGTGGTTGCTAGGCAACAAACACCTACAATTAACATGATCCAGTGGTCCTTAACGTCGAATATTCTATTCAAATTACTCAGACTTCTCTTGTAAATGTTCATTTATTGATATGAACTCATTAAAAAAAGGAAATAAAACTTAAACATGGCCCGTATTCTTCTCAGTACTGCGCATCGGCCGTATTTTTTATCTCCTTGTGTGACATCGCGTATGTGCTCCTGGTATCCAAGTCCACCACCAGGTAGCCATTAGACAAGCCAACTTGAGTAACGCAAGGTGTAACCTTTCCCAAAATACCCACCAAATATTTGGTCATTTCCAAAAAAATAAGTGACCCTGGCTCCTGGACTATTTTGTTGACGAGAATTTCCAGAAAATATTGCAAAGCTTTTTATTAATAGACCTACATAATTATGTTACATGCGGTTAAAAGCCCTCGATCTCCCGACCCTCGCCCCTCCCTCATCACGAATGCTCGCAGGATTGTAACTTTGTTTCTCTGTAAATTCCAGATATTTGACACAAAATAAATGTTGTACAATACTGCATGTTAATGTAAAAACAAAAGTGTCTGCATTCAACTGTTTTCACTGTCAAAATGTTTATGTCTTAGAGGCCATTAATAATATTCAGTGTTTTTAAATTTCGATTGTTTTTCGAAGTTGTTTTGACCCACCCATCCACCCCAAATTTCGTTTTTTAAATGTTGAAATTGCTATTCAATATATCATATGCACTGAAGAACAAAGTAATGCTTCAAATGAGCCAGATATTTTAAGTCAATGCTCTCCCAGCTCGGGAGTTTCAATGGCTGTTCCAGGCTTCCAGCATGCAACTTTGAAGTTGAAACAAGAGGAAATCACACAGAACTTTGTAGTGTTTTTCAGTTTTCTTTTACACTATATTAAGAAAAGGAACACAAGCATGAAAAAAGAATTTCCTTATCAGCTGGAATGTTGCATGCCTTTATTATTATTTTTTTTTGTACTGTTTTACTTTTAATTTATAGTTACACAAAATTGCGGACAGGGTATGCAAATATAACTTGACACATTGTGAACATGTTTACAGGTCCATAGATAGACAGTTTATTTTGTACATCAATTTTCTGTTGTACTTTAATATTGAATTACCCACCGTTTTTTTATTTCAAAAGTCACTGAGTTTAACATTTTGCACTGACAAGCTGAATAAAAATAAAGTTCACCAATCCCCCAAGAAATATTTTTGTCTGAGATACTGCCAACATCTAGAATAAAACATTTAAAGAACCCTCTCCTCAATATCTGTTGCTGAGTTCCCATGAGTTGCTTGAAAAACTGACATGATTTTTTACACTGAAATTCTTGTGATTATGAGACAGAAATGTCTCGTTCAGTGACGGCGTGTGGAAGCCACAGGTCTCCCCTTTTGCACACTTGCCCAGATGTTTTCTTGTGCTTGTTCAGCTTGAGTGGAGAATGATAGTTTACACTCTTCAAATGTGCAGATGTATCCATCATCTTGTATCTTTCTTGAGTTGGTTATCATGTGACAAATCAGGGAGTGCCTTTCACGGGCAGTCGCAGGAAGGAACCTCAAAAGATCTAGCTGGGGTTTTTTTTTTGAGGGGGGGGGGTTTCTTTGCTATTTTCTATGAAAAGTGCACTTCGATTTTTAATTATTTAGCCTACCTTGACCCACCCACCCACAATTTCGAAAAAAAAATTCGAAATTTAAAAACACTGAAAATTAATAATGGCCCCTTACCTCCGATTTCTTTTGCCAGCAGGGTCCAGGAAACGCACGCCACAATAATCCCAAATAAACGCATTATCCTTCCAAGTTCATCCATTGCTGCCGCCGTCAAGAATGACTGAGGAGCAATTAACTATTTTTTTTTGGCGCTGAGACTGTTATTAAAAACAAAACACCATTGATTTGCTTATTAAACTGGCACTTCAGTGCCCTGCTGCCGTTTCGGTGGAAAACGCGGTTTCCATGGTAATGCCATCCTCATTACAATCAACCCCTCACATGGTTCTGAGGCGACGGCATTTTCACATGTAACGGAGGAGAGCGCAGCTCGTATATTAAATTTCAAAATCATTGTTGAGTGCACGTCGACCAAAACGAAAATACGATATTCATTCAAAGCCAACCACGCAGCTAAAATTATATGAAGCGTATTTCTTACTATTCTGCTAGAATTGGTTGTTAATTAATTATTGTCCTTGAGGGTTTTTGAAGTAATTGTATGAACGTTACAGAAGAAAATGTCTACAAAGAATATACGCCTACACAAGCCACCGCAATGCCATGACTATTACGCGGATCGGCTGTATATCTCTAAAAGAAATATATATGCAATAAATTAACATGCTCATGCATTACTTTTTGATAATCTCCATATTTTAAATTTGTTTTTCCCAGACATACACCTGTCGTTTGCAAGCTAATTTCACAATAATCCCCTTCGTCCGCTTCTAATTCTCCATGAAGTGAGCAGTGGCGTAGCCACGGGGGGGGGGGGGGGGGGGGGGGGGGGGTGGGGGCGACAGCCCCCCCCCCATGAAACCTTGTCGCCCCCCCCCCCCCAGTTGCCCCCCCCCCCCTACTGAGATTTTGAGTTTTCTCAAAAAAATATCATTGATCTACATGACGCCCCCCATGAAATGTTCCAGCCTTACCTTGTCAAAAAGGATAGCTAGTGATGGACTACATTATACCTTACGGGGATGCAGACCACGTAATTCTGCAACTTTTCAAACTGCATCGTTTTTCATAAACCGTTGTCAATCTTGGACGATTTCTTGGTATATAGCCAACGGGGTATCAAAATGGAGCTTACAAATAACTCGGTAAAAAAGGGGGCGACTTGACACAATCATCTGCAGACAGACATTTTCTTCATCGTTTTCGTCCAATAAATCCCACTGAATATCAGCTCCAGAAAGCCACTGACAACCGGAAGTGGGAAATTCCCAAATTTTGAGCAAAACAATTCAAGGAAAATGACGGACATATAATCGTGTTTACGTTGGTTTTACGTTACCTTGCAAAATGATCAGTGCGCTCTCAACAGACGTATTTTTGAGAGGGATTTCATTCATAAGTCGAGTTTCGAAATGCATATTTTATGTCGTGCGAATTCGTACGATCGACGGTGAAAGCATTTTAATCCGGCTCCGGGATAGTATTTTGTGCGTTCGGAACCACAAGGTGGGAGTCTGTGACACGTTGTTTGTCTTTTCACGACAAGCGTATTGTATTTGCAAAGTGACGTGAACATATTTTGCACCGAAAGTCATTGCAAATGTTTTTCGCAAAGTTTTGCTTTTATTTTTTGGACTCGAGTCTTATTAGCCTTCGCTCGAGTCGAGTCGAGCCTTCTGGTGAGGGACCCGAGTCGAGTCGAGTCATTTGCTTGCAGTGACTCGAGTCGAGTCGAGTCATTTACCCATAGTCGAGTCGATTCACCAAAAATCGTGACTCGCGTTGGACTCGAGTCGAGTTATGGACTCG